ATTATTTTGTGGAATTCGGATCTTATTTTCATTTTATCAATGTCGACTTTAAATCCATGTTACGCTGAAATGTAATTAGCTCATTATTGAACTTTAGTTATTGAAGAATAACTTGACATATCGACAAGCTAAATGATATATAGTTCTGCAGAGAAATGTGAAACCCTTAATCTGATCATAAACAACATTGTTTACAATACCTGTGTTGAACGTCATCAATAAATCATACTCACTGATACCTTGGTAGGGCCTTGTTCCTGTCCTGTAATGCTAACTGTACTATGTTGTTATTTATGACGATACGATGATTTACACGCAATTTATTGTGCACATTTTATATCAAATGTAACACAGCATGATTAATGCAAATATTTGAACTTATGACAAACGTTGAAGCCAATGTCTGAATTGTGAACAATGCTTTCGCATTCTCGCTAGCTATTTGATGTCAATTAAGTATCATCAATGTTGTTGGTCTTCCTTTTCAAACCAGTGTATACTCCATATATCTTTGTATAACGCCGCACTCAGCACTATTTCAGCAATATCACGGTGGTATGTAAATAATCGAGTACACCGAACAATCCAGTGATTGACATCATGAGCAACGATCTACGCAATTGGGAAACGATGACATGCATCAAATGATAAACCACCTGATCCCGTTAGTCTCTTGTTACGACAGGTTGCTGAGGATCAGTTGTAACCCATATCATCACGGGTCACGCTATTAATTTATATGTTTATCATATACGTTGTAATAATATTACAACTAACATCTAAATACATGTATGCTTTGTTTGAAGGTAAAAACATTTAATGTTATTTAAGTATGTTTAAGTAAAATAATTATTGCAAAACGTATCCCATGACTTACGTGTCTTTTCAAGTGACGAATAAGTTAAAAGGATGACATGAAGTATCACACTGGGTGTTACTGCTACATTTTGTTAGGTGTGTTTAATATGCAGCGAGAGATTCCAGCTATATCACAAAGGCCTATAATGGCAGACTATGGACTACAAGTACAAACAATAGACTAAAAGTGGCAAACAACCGACTAAACGTGGCAAACAATGGACTAAAAGTGGCAAACAATAGACCAAAAGTGGCAAACAATAGACTAAAAGTGGCAAACAATGGACTAAAAGTGGCAAACAATAGACTAAAAGTGGCAAACAATAGACTAAAAGTGGCAAACAATGGACTAAAAGCTGGAACAAAGATTCATGCCATTGGTGTACTTGCAATAAGCCACAGCGAGCTTTACGTCCCTGTTTGTATCTATGAATCTCTGCTATCAGTTACTGGCAATATCAGATGTTCGCGAAAAAGTGAGCGTATCCTGTGCCATGGGTGGCATCCGATACCAACACATGCAACGTCAATTGGTCACCTGGACCCAAAAAATCCCACATGAGCTCAGTATAGATGATGTACAAACCCACTGACTTACAAATTTACTTCTAAACAATTGTTTGAAAGGTACAGGTGACTTACGTATGCATCCTTAACCACCAGCGCCCCGATCCACAGAGCGTTCGTAGCTCTACGACATAAGCCTATGATAAACTATAGCGTTACGACAGGTCGTAACGTTACGAACGCTTTGTGGATTGGGATCCAGGAGTCTATGGTCACGGGTTCCAATCTCGGATTCGACCTGATAATGAACTATCTCCTACCGGCCCACGCTTGTGCTACTTTCCACAACTATGCTGTGATATATATGAAAAAAACCGTCAAACAGAACTCCTTCCCTTCACAACTCTTGAAATTTGATCAAATGACGGTCGAAACCAAATATGAATTCTGCTGTTTGAACTGTTATATCTAAGTGAATATTTCATGACTTAATCGCAATGTACGCTTTAAATTCAGTTATATGCCTAAAAGTCTTTTCGTGTCATATTTAAAGCAACTTTGCGTTTTTGTTCTTATGTACAAATGTAAATACACTAATGTTATCGCCAAATATAACTGAACATGAATTGAAGGATCTTGGACATATAACCCTTGAGGTAGTGTTGTGAGGATGAATAGGCTATTGCCATTCTATTTGAACATTTCTCGTATGAGTTTCATTTCATGAATACGGATATATTGACATTGCTTTGAACAGCAGGACCGACAAGGGAAAGCCTCGTTATTTGATAATGCATTACAGGGGAAAATTAGGATCGTGATACCTGGACAAATATTTGAGTCTGGTTAGGGGACGCATGGCAAATACCGTACTACGCTAAATGTGATAAAAGCTATTCCCGCGAATGTACATATGCCGAGACTGATTAACCACCAATATTAAAAACATAGCCGTTCGAATTATACCAGATTAATACACGAAGAACATGTATTTTAACGTTAAAAACCCCCACGTAATCTATATTATATCAAAAATACATTAGAAATATCAACAACTTGCATAGGTTTCAGCTGAAAGCTACGAAGGTTACGTGAAACGTAATTTATGATCGATCGTCACCCCAGGCCAACAAAAAAGACTTCACATGAGGAAACGTTAAGCCTGTTTCCTGCCGTATGAATACAGAACGTCGAAACCTTTGCCTTTTGACACATAAAGTTGTTTTTGTGCTTGTGAAATATGCAAAAGCATGTCCATTAACATGTAATGCATTTGCTTGTTTGTTGTTTAACGCCGGCCTCAGCATTAGTCAAGTTATATGACGATAGCAAAGCTTGTTTATGGATAATGAAATCATGCACGGCAAGAGAATGTTGTCAACAATTCGATAGAATTCACTTTTTTATTGTATATTTCAGGCTATAGAATGTGTTTATGGCAGCCTGAGGGGGAGCATATCCTTCACATATGGATACTCGCAGAATACATACATCATTCTTCGAACACCGGGTGTCGACTGTTACTTTATGCTGACATTATATAAATCACCAACATTCCAGCAACATCACTGCAGGGTACACCAGAAATAGTCGTCATACATTCAATCCATACGGAAAATCGAACCTAGGTCTTCGGCGTTACGAGCGAACGCTTTAACCACCAAGCTAATCCACCGCATCTATGCGGAAAAGAAACGCACAAATGTAATTGGTCATAAAGATGTCTGCATGTCTTAAATGTTTGGATATCTCGAAGTCATACTGTCTATAGAGAAATAGTTTTGAAAAGGTTCAGTAACAAGAGAAGATGTAAAGCTAACTATTTGTTAGGCTTCTCCGACAGCAAGAACTTATCGCACGATTTGTTTTCAACCTCGCCAATTGACATATGACATTTGGCTCCTGTAAGTAATGGATGTTTTCAATAATGCGTTATTTGGACAAAAGTATCAAAGACCGTGTAGCGTATACGACTTCATGTCATGTCAGAGACTGTTCCGTGTAATGGACTGTTACGCACACTGTGGATTTCTGTCAATATTGGGCGCACAATGCTAGTTTATAAATACCTTCCTAGGCTTTGTATCAGAAATTCCTGTCTTTCCGGAAGGAGGCCCACACGTTACACGTGTCAGCAGAAAACGATAGGTGTCAAACGATGCATTAATCCATTTGATAGAATATCTGGTATATTGGACAATTTGTATTTTTCAGCAACGGGACAAGCTGTGCAGTAGAGTAGTGACATTGGGGATTGAATGATATCAAATTAAACAGTGCATTATCGTAACCTTATGGCAAAACCATTAAAGGAAACGTGATTAACTATTCCAGCATTAGCCATGCTTCAACTTCAACCAGTCATGCAGACAATCACATGACACCACACGTCAGTATCTGTACGATCCTGCTATGTGTGTTAGGTTCTTCTAATATACGGGGGCGGTGGGGTAGCCTAGTGGTTAAAGCGTTGGCTCGTCACGCCGAAGACCCGGGTTCGAATCCCCACATGGGTACAATGAGTGAAGCCCATTTCTGGTGTCCCCCGCCGTGATGTTGCTGGAATATTGCTAAAAGCGGCGTAAAACCAAAACTCAGTCAGTCAGTCTAATATACGTACATAGATGTTTCAGCTTCACTTGTCGAAAATGGTCTGTGTTGTGTTATTGTTCGGATTTATCATTAACACTCTGCAGTAAATGGAACATGATGACAAAAATGTAATGGTTGTTAGTCAAAGTATAAACGGTATTCGTTTTACAGTGAGCTGAATCCTCCTTTTTATGTTCGATTGTAGACATAATATACGAGTATGAGAAATAACATTGAGGTATGTGATACCCTACTCTAAAATATGTGTGAGCTGGATTGCCTCGTGTTAAAAAAGACAATAGTTCACTGATCGCGTGTTCGAATCCTTGACCTTTGTGACCGTTGTTTGTAGATTTATCAAAACAGATAAACGTGTGAGCGTTATGCCACCTTAAGCCCTCTTCATAAAATAAACAGTAAAGGGGATGCTGGGAAATAACCCGGAGATTTATAAGAGATAATGCACTGCTTACGTTTATTGCTAGTGTTATTGTCATTCAATAGTTGCCAAGGAAAGATATTGCAAGTATTAGGTGGACAACTAGTCTAACATGTTTTGATAAAATTAATGTAATACTTTATGGCTGGTAGCAATGTCTTATTGACACTGAATGTTTTTAAATCAAAGCACTGTGACCAGCGTAAGTATTCCAAAAAAGAAGTGCAACAGTGTTTCATTTTAAAAGCATCTTCGCCTTTACAAAAAACCAAACACCCTTAAAAACAGTACATCGAAAGAGCATATCTAAACACCAAATACTTTAACTTGTCAAACAGTCCACAAAGGCTCAACAGGTATGTCACCCGAGCCTGAGATTTAGCTATCAGAGAGGTAAAAAGACTACATCAATAAAAGGGGGAACCGTTTTTCTGAGACCGCCTGGCACCAATTAAATATATGAGTGACAGTGGGAACGTCTGTACTATACCCACACCAATTGCTAGTGGCTTCCAGCCACCTGCTCTAGGAAAAGCGGGTCTAAACAAGACATTTCTCTTACAAAGTATGATACTCTGCCAATAAAGTGTGTCTTTCATTTCAGGCTGAGGCAAGAAGAATTCTAGAGTGCGGAAGCAAATACAATGGAAATGATGTCCTTCGGAAGTGAGGAGAGAGCTACCTTTGGGTCAAGTCGTTCATGCATACGTCTGAGGTACGACCCAGCACCTTGAAAGAGGCTTATTTCTTCTAATAGCCGAACGCAAAAGCATATCCAAGCCATTAAAGCAGTGAGACATCACCTGAGATCGCTATCAATGACTCCTGATACACTTCAAATACTTTCTGTGCAGACATGGTGTAACTCAAAATGACATCGTGAAGACAATTTGTGGGACTGATAACAAAAAGAATAATTATAGAAGAACTATTGTGCAATTCCTTCACACCCACACACACACGTAACTTTGAAATTTAAACGACATATTGTATTTTTAACATGTGGAAGGTAATATCTTGTCAATGAATACTGTTATGTGATAAAATATTTTAAAACTAATGTCTGTGTGTCTTTTAAGATGTTCGAAATACATGATATATCTATTTTCTTTCTATATGTTAAAATAAAAATTATTGGATTCTTTCAAGCAATTTTTCTTTTATAATGGAGAGGGGCCAACTGCCTGGTTGAGAAGTTTCAGAATCAGTCGTCATAAGTTTGTAGTACGAATAAAACAACGCAAAAGGGGACGCTCTGAATAAACTTACTTTTTGTCAAAGACTTTTGGCAAAAGTTCGTTAACTTAAAACGCCCTTTCCACAAACATATATGCAGGCAATGGACAAATTGTGAATACTGAACATTGGAATAGATTTCATGCAGACAAAATGGTATACTTCCATGGAAATAATACCATTAGATATTGATAAAATTGACTACACTATTGCTGACATGAATACTGTGTACAATTCGTCTGGTGAGTGGTACAACATTGTACAACAAATGTAAAGTTAACCCACTTAAGTATGTTGTTAATCCAGACATTTGTTAATCAAGACTGCTACACACAGAACAGTATGTTCCTCCCTGGCGAGTTGTGTCATCCAAGATATTGATAACCAGAAGGTTGTACAATGCGAAGTACAATGACTGCTTGCTATAACAGGGATTCGGATATCACAATTTAGTTACTGAAAGGAGCCTTGTGGAAATAGGCATTAGTTAACAAGGATATTCTCTCAGCAGAGAAGGGAATGTTGAGAACAGATTAGTCCTTAATAGTAAGCAGTTAATGAGAAGACCCTTCATGGATACTGAGCTGTAATATATGGTAGACTGTTCCCATCAAGATTCATCTACATGCTGCAAACCTTTGTCCCCTAAACGAACTGTTTCATCTCCCCCCGCATTTTTTCATTCGAACATCATCTCACCTGCATTCGTTATAAACACACGCTCCATTATACACACGCTCTTTCATCAACACATACCTTCTAATCAACACTAACTCCTCCATCTGTATTCGATCATCCATTTACACACACTCTTCCATCTACATACATTCTCCCATTTACATTCGCTCGTTCCTCTACACACACTCTTCCATCTACTCTTCCTCTTTTATCTACACTCGCTCTTCATTCTACACACACCCTTCACTCTTGTCACTTAAACGAACTGTTTCATCTACCCGCATTTTTTCATTCGAATATCATCTCACCTGCATACGTTATACACACACGCTCCGTTATACACACTCGCTCTTCTATCTACACACATTATTCCATCCACACACGCTCTTCCATCTACACATATTATTCTATCCACACACTATTCCATCTACACACACTCTTCAGTCCACACACGCTCTTCTATCTACACACATTATTCCATCTACACCCACCCTTTCATCTACACTCACTCTTCCATCTACGCACGCTCTTCCATTTACACTCGCTCCTCCATCTACACTCGCTCCTCCATCTACACTCGCTCTTCCATCTACACACACTCCTCCATCTACACATGCTCTTCCATTTACACTCGCTCCTCCATCTACACTTGCTCTTCAATTCATGCTCCTCCATCTACACTCACTCTTCCATCTACACTCACTCTTCCATCTACACACACGCTTTCATTTACGCTCACTCTTCCATCTACACTCACCCTTTTATCTACACACGCTCTTTCATTTACACTCACTCTTCCGTCTACACACACTCTTCCATGTACACACGCTCTTCCATTTACAATCACTCTTCCGTCTGCACACGTTCTTCCATTTACACACTCTCTTCCATCTACCCTCCCTCTTCCGTCTACAAACTCCCCGTCATCCACAGACTCCCCGTCGTGTACAGACTCCCCGTCATCTACAGACTCCCCGTCATGTACAGACTCCCCGTCATCTACAGACTCCCCGTCATGTACAGACTCCCTGTCATCTACAGACTCTCCGTCATCTACAGACTCCCCGTCATCTCCAAACATCCTGTCATCTACACACATTCTAGATCTCCGAAACACATTCCGTTATCTTCACACAGTCAGCTATCTACACACATTCCTCGTTATGCAAACAGCGTCATCCACACACATTCTACATTCTATCATCTACACACACGCTGTCACCTATACACACCCTGTCATCTTCACACACTTCGTCGTCTAAACACACACTGTCAACACTCATTCCTTCATCTCCAAACACCCTCTCATCTACACATTAAGTCCGACATTCCTGACATCCACACACGCCCTGTATTCTACACACGCCCTGTCATCTCCAAATATCATTCTCATCTACAGATATAATGTCAATCATCCACACACACCCGGTCATCTACACACAGCGTCATCCACATACATTCTACGTCGTCTATCCGTCATCAGCACCATCTCCCTATACACTGTTCATCATCTACACATACGTACACACCCTGCCATTTATCAACAGTCGATCTTCTCCACACATCCTGCCATCTACACACACTCCATCTACACTCAGTCCGTCATCTACACACTCACACACACTCACACACACACTCCTTCACAATCATTCACCTGTACACATCTGTGTTAAGTTGCCGCATGCGTCATATAACAGTAGGTTGTAGATTGACGTACGTCGCGTGCATAATAAGGTATACACACAGGACTTATTTACTTGTTCATTAGTAACCGTTATCAGTATTTATTACAACAACAGTGCTCTATCTGGGGAATATGAATGACACATAATTCTCAGAGGTTTCAAAATTGATCTTGATGACCAGAAGAGGCAAGGGAGAGCGGAGGGGGTACTTCACACATTCCTTCCAATTAACGATTGACTTAGGTATACATTTTTTGTCTTTGGGCATATAATTAAATCATTGGACGTTCATGCGTGATAAATCTGGGTTTTAGCCTTTACAGAGTGTGTCTTTTAAAGATCGGCTAGAGAGATCTAGGTCTCTGAAGGTTTAGAAACCAAAGTATTCCGAACTCTTGCAAAATGTATTTATTGGGGTTTAGCACAGTCTGCTGATTTGACATTTCAAGGAAAGTATGTTTCTATCATTGTCAAGCAACCCACTCTCGCGATATTAGGAATAACAATCAAGCATGTAATAAGACACATTAATTAGATAGTGGATCACAGTACGAGTCCAGTTTGATATTAGCCATTGAACAGTAGTCTGTTGTCTTGGAAACTGAACAATGCGGGTCTCCAGAGACACAAATCCCAATCAGTCGGTATAACTGTATCCTTACATTGTCAAATTTTCCGGAGCTGACATTTGAAAGTTAGTGACATTGTGGATATAAAGATCACCACTCTTGCTTTTTCGTGACACATACTAATACAATAAACCAATATATATCCATCTTGGTAATGCAAGATAAACATTTGACAGAGCAGCCAAAGTAGCTGGTTCCATAGAATTAGAAATTTGAACCATTGGATGTTCGTTATTGAATAACCAGGCGATGTACTTTCCATCTGCAAGAATCACACTATGGTTTTGATGAATGTTGAAAAATACGTCCAAGACATGGGTTCTATAGAGGAATAACTTTGATAAACTGAATTTCGGTTCTTGTAAAAAAAAATTACTAGACAATATATCTATCTGTGCCCCGTACTATCTCTGTACTTCAGAACCTTGATAAAGAAGTTCAAAGACATGGGCTAGTGATGCACAGCTGCCAATACATATTCGATATAGTTCTCTGGAAATGGGATGTGTGCTGTTTTACAAGTAGGCTTATGCCTCTAATTTTGTCTCACGTAAAGAAACTCTGATCCCCTGTGGAAACACAGTTGACAAGCATAAATCCATGAAGAGGGCCAGGCTCAAATGGCTGCTGCTTACTCGTCTATCTACCATTGATTTGCAATGGAGACGAACTATTAATATACGGTAGGTTGAATGTTACGTTTGTCGGTTTTGGCCCTTTCATTTCAGCTCATGGAGCATTCATCAGTTATTTGGTATCCATATAGAGGTCATTTGTTTCGACTCCTAACGATTCAGTGTTGTATAGTTTCACTGGAACAAAGTAGTGAACGCGTAGGTCATGTGCGTCAAATTGGACATTCGAACATACGTTCAGTTTAGGTGATATGCTGCAGCTGACTGTTCAACGTTGAATTAAAACAATCTTCCTCCACTCCACTTTTACATGATTCTGTGAACAGCAGATTTTTCTTTGAACGAGAAAGATTTAGTCTATTTCCAATAACAAGCAGACCTTTAAATGCAAAACGATTAACTATACATATTAAAGTAAATGAAATGCTGGTTTATACAAATGCGACTACAGTTTATAGTCCTACTGAAATATAGTATATTTTGATGTGCACATTATTCGCCCAATTACCGGGGTGGGCTAGCATAGTGGTTAAAGTGTTCGCTCCTCACGCCGAAGGCCCAGGTTCGATTCCCCACATGGGTACAAGGCGTGAAGCCTTTGTGGCCCCCACCATGATATTGCTGGAATATTGATAAAAGCGGCGTAAAACCATACTCAGGCAATTAGTTGTCAAATTATCATTGGGCCCACAGACACAGAAGGCAGGAATGGCACCTCTACAAATGGGTAAATATTTAATAAACAGTGTGTTCCTTCACCAAACATTTCACATTGTAGAACGACGTAATGATTAAGCAGCACTTGAATGGCATCACCATAAGTGTGTTTTTATCCAGGGATAGTGATGTTTGCCTTTGATATCAAGATCCGTACTACAGCATTACATGCGGGACCTTTGTTGATGTTTATTTTATTGAGTCCATAAACGAAATGTCTAGTAAAATAGATTCTGATTTCTCTGGGGAACATGTTAATGACCATTGTGTGCATCAATAGCGCAGTGCAAATATACATTACACATACACCATATATCCAATCTTAAACAGCGTTTAATGTCAAGGAGTACTGACATCAAAGGTTTTATAAAAAAACATTTAATGCCTTTTCTCTGTCATATTTTGAAATCAATGGACGCTGTAAAAGAAAATGCATTGAATATGACGACGCTTTGACGTTGACTACTATCTGTGTATATTTGAAAGACATTACTCTCAGCAAAAATGTAAAAATGAACAATTTGTAGGAGAATTATGACCATGTTCAAGTTTTCAGCTATTTTGTAAA